ACAGACACAAGTCTGACCAATGTAGGCCGACGCATTGCAGGAAAAACACGAGACACCCCCGCCGCCGTGCTGTGGGCTCACGAGTATGTCAATCCTTGAGTGCCCATTAATCTCCAGTCCTGAGGTCTGGGATCAGGAAGGCACGCAATCGTAAAAAGTCACGACAATTTTATATGGCAAAAAGTTGACGTATGTATACAGGGTGACATAGAAAAAAGTACATTGCATAGTGCCACACAATAGAGGACACTGAAATAAGAAAAAAGTTCCTATGAACATGGGTCTGCAAGGCCTTCGGTTAAAAGATACGGGGTGTTGAATTTTATTTTTGTTTGTTTTTTTTTTTTGAATATCTTTAGCCAGAGACGCAAGAAATGGATGAAATGTGGTATACAGGTTTTTTTTTATCATGCTAAATTCAAATATGATCTTAGTTTTGTGATTACTGATAGAGGGCGCTACATACAGGGTTCCATATCTATTGAATCGGTCCTAACTTTTTTGCTATACACTGTATGTCATTTTCGACTGAAAAAAATTTGTTATTCCTTCTTTATACGTAAGAAAGGTATACCTTGTCCAAGTCGCTAGAAGCAATGGTTCCAGTACAAAAGCCGACAATGCACGCAAATTATTCAAAAAGCGCCAAAGTAACATTTGCAAAAACAATGATAAATAACAATTAAATAATGTGCCATAATGACACTTGTTAAACTAATATAATAATTGTTAGAGGTATTTTGTGTTCTTGATTAAGTTCATTGTTTTTGCAAACAAAAAAAAATTAAAATTCAACACCCCGTATCCTTTAACCGAAGGCCTTGCGGACCCATGTTCATAGGAACTTTTTTTCTTGTTTTAGTGTCCTCTATTGTGTGGCACTATGCAATGTACTTTTTTCTATGTCACCCTGTATACAAGTAAAACAACCGGTCCCGACGGTTACTATCCCCCGGTGAGAAATTACGCGGGAAGTTTGAAGAATGAAAATATGTCGGGAGCTACCGGGAAAAATGGATACACGGAAAAATTTAATCGCGGATATTTCGAGGTCGATTTTAGTACGGATTCGGTCACATAAGGCGCAGGGAGAAAGCCAAACGCGCGAAAAGCTAGCGATTATTTTTTTTAAACCCAATTTAATACAGTACGCGCTTGTATAGTCCTTCCGAAGTCAGTTGAATATGCAAAAAAACGTCTGGTAGTAAAATTTAGTGAGTTTCATAGGCATCCCTAAAAAAAATTTTCTGCTAAAGGTAAAGAATTATAATAATTTGTATATAATGTGTAGAAAATTTCTATTATATGTTCATTTGGCCAATGTTGTGATAATATTAATAAACAAAATATCCCCCTTATTTCTCCCTTTCACAATTGTAATATGAATGACTTATAGAAGGTGCCTATAATAAATTAAAATTGCCTGATTCACACCAAATTCCGCACTGCTGCACTGCACTGCTAGGCAATTTATGAACCACTTGTCACCTGCTGTGATTTATTGCCCAGAAGCCCAATACAACTGTGCTCGTTTTCCTTTGGCCGCGCTCGCATTCTTCAACTGGTCGTATACATTTCTACCACCTGCACATTTAGTTCGACCAGACCTATATATGGGCATGGCTAAATAAATATGGGAACAAGTTATTCAAATATTTCAATTCCGAGTTGCTGCTTAGCGACCGAGCCTGGTGCATACCGTGAAGTTATTGGTTCTTCAATTGACTTCGGAAAAACTATACAAGGGATGTCAAAATGACCTATATTTTTTTTTTTCATAATATTCCTCTTTGTGTAGGTATTGGGCCCAAAATTAAATTAATTGCAAATTGTACTGAAATTTAACACAATGCATATTAAGTGGGTTCCTATCTGTTCATAAATATGTATATTTTAATACAGATTATGATTAATTTATGCGCCCGTAATGATAAAATTGCATTAATCAAATTATATTTCAAAAACGATATTTCCGGAAATAACTACCCCGTAATTAAATCCAAACAAAGCCAATTAATTCATTTAATTAAAGGCTGTTTGTTAAACTGCTCATATTTCTACCGATGATTTCTAAAATTCTGTAATATTGTGAGCATTTGCGATTAAATAGATTAATACGTACCGGAAAAATAAAACGGATAACAGCAAGAGAAGCATCGCTCCAAAATATTTTTATTGCACAGGGTGATTCACTAGATTTTGACCCTCCCCCCCCCCATTAACTTTTTTGTTAAGAGTTGTAAAAAAAATGTGAAATACAAAAATTGTACGATTTTTTATGAAATTTTTGTTAATGATTGTAGAAAAACAATCGAAGTCCAAACAAAATGGCCGCGGATGCTAACTTTGTTAATTTAAATGGAGCACCCTGTATATTTTTACATATTTGAATAGAACGTCCCCTGTCGAGCATAGTCATTTAGGGTTGCTTGGGTCCTTTTCTAACAATAAGCCTGAAAGAGGTCTAACAAACAAGATGTTTTATTTTCTTAATAAAAAACCTTCTTTTCGTTTTTTAATATTATCTCGCTTATTGTTAGAGATGGACCCAACAAATCCTATTATGACTATGATCGACAGGGAACGTTCTTTTCAAATATGTAAAAATATACAGGGCGTTCCATTTAAATTAACCAAGTTAACATCCGTGGCCATATTGTTTGGATTTCATTTGTTTTTCTACCATTATTTTTGAAAACTTCCTAAAAAAATCTTGCAACTTTTGTATTTCACATTTTTTTGTTACTCTTAAAACAAAAAAGTTAAAGAGGGGGGGTCAAAATATAGTGAATCACCCTGTACAAGGTGTCGCGCTTAAATGTGATACAAGCCTATAATTTCCGTATTTTTTAGCCGATTTCAAAAATTTTTCTTTAGAATGTAAGGCAAAAAAACTATCTAAATGTGATACTGCTGTCTTTATTAATGCAATACACGGCCAACTAGGTCGCGTTTTTTGACAGCTAATTGGTATTAGCGATTTTTTTTTCCAAAAAAAAAAAACAGATTCTCATTCAGCTTCTCTTAAAACGCCATCACCAAGTTTCATGAAATTCGATACATCTTCAGGCGAGCATGAGTGTAATTTCCGGTTTTGGTGAACAGAATAACGGTGTTGGACTTTTTTCTTTGGGGTTTTTTGAAGTCTCAGGTTTATGCCAACAAAGAGGAAATTGAGCATTCATATAGTCAGTTTATGATTAGTCAGGAAAATGATGTTTTTGATAAGGAATACCGTTGTTATTAAATCCGATACATTACCCACTATCATCGGCCGTTGTTGGCACTACCACCCCAGCAACATAAAAACTCGAAAATTGCCAATACAAATGTAATAAAATATTGACTGATTTTGTTTTGGAATGCTCCCTATGCTCGTAGTATAGGGAGTATTCCACGCCAAATCGACCACTTTTAATCCTGATCGCTTTCGATTTGGATGAAACTTTTGTATTGTTTTCTGCCCCATTGAAAACCTCTGAGAATTTTTTCAAATTTTTTCACCCAACTCAAAAAAGTTATGAATTTTTGAGAAAAATAGCTTTTTTAAATAACCATAACTTTTCCAACAATTGAGTTATCGGGACGTTTTTCTTTCAAAATTTTTGTTTTTAACTGTACTTTTTGAAAAACATAGATCAGAATTATCTGGACCTATCTTCACTGTTTATTTTTCAATTTTCGAAAAAAAAACCAAAATTTCTCGATAATTAAGTACCATTTTTGAAAAAAAAACTGAAATTTTTTTATAAATCCTCCAATTTTTTCAGTGGTTTTTTCGTTTTCTATTTTTTTTATTGATTGAAAAAATTTTTTTTTTCAAATTTAGCTTATACCATTTTGAAAATTTTTGAAAATGTATATTGAAAAAATTTATTCTATGCAGCGATTGATGACAATTTCAAAAAGTCAAAAGAGGATGGTTTCAAAATGATTTCTTTGAGTTCAAGTGCGTTGCATGTCTTTTTTTAAAGCCCATTGTTCGTCCAAAAATGGACCTAATAACAACTTTTCCTTCATTTTCTTTGTTTTTGGATGTAGTTTTCGAAAAAAAATACAAAAAATTATTCATAACGATCTTATGTTTTTCTTAACTTTTTCAAAAAAAAAATTCAAACTTTTTTCATATTTACCACTTTCAATTATTTCTTTCATATATATTTTTTAAATTTTGGGATTGTATATATATTTTCAAAAATTTTCAAAATGGTATGTGAAATAAGCTAAATTTGAAAAAAACAAATTTTCTTTTTTCAAAAATGGTAATTATTATCGAGAACATTTCGTTTTTTTTTCAAAAAGTACATTTAAAAATAAAAGTTTTGAAAAAAAAACGTAACTCAATTTTTGAAAAAGTTATGGTTATTTAAAAAAAAAGCTAATTTATTGAAAAATTCATAACTTTTTTGAGTTGGGTGAAAAAATTTGAAAAAATTCTCAGAGGTTTTCAATGTGGTAGAAAACAATAAAAAAGTTTCAGCCAAATCGAAGGAGGTCAGGGTTAAAAGTGGTCGATTTGGCGTGGAATGTCCCACAGGTAATAATTAATATATTTGAAATTTCAGTAGGTATTAGAGATAATTATCTACCCACACTCACGATGCTTCTGACACACACATAAAAGTATCAAAGAAAAACATTTACCCCAAGATATACGACGCTATCAAGTAAACAGGAATAATAGTATTAACGTTATAGTGTCACTCTCGACAACATTGTTGCTCGCGCTGTTTCAGTAATCCAACATTTTACGTCCCACTTTTATGACACCAACCTTGTTAATTTTGAGAGATCGTAAAAACAAAATTACGGGGGTGAATTATAGATTATCTTTAACATAAATCACGGTATTATAACTAGTTAGTGTTGGTAGTCTTCGGTACGTTAAGCGTGTTTTAATTGTTCGATGGAAAAGAACCGTTCTCTCGGTGTACAAACTATTCGGCTGAAATAAAGAAGGAAACTTAACAGTTCCCGTCAAGGCGATAAATTCTACTTGCCTGGCTACGGCTTCGCTGTAGACGAATCCCGCTGAAGCTCTGCGGACGACCTCGTAGCACAGATCGGAGCCGTCCATACTGAAACAAATTGATAAATATTACAAAAGGAGCAGGGAGCTTAAGGCATATGAATGGGATGAAGGGCGAACAAAGCCCCATGCGACAGTTGAAGTATGTACGTTGAACAGAAAATCGTGGGAATATATTTTTAATAATTAATTACTTGAAAGTATATTTAATAGTTATGCAAAAATAAACAAGAATATAAAAATAAAGGAATAACGTAAAAAATCATAAAATCTAGAGGTAATAGAATATTGAAAAATAAGATTAGAAAAAATTTCCTACGAATTCTGTGCATTTTTTTTATTTTCAAGATACAGGGTGTTAATAGTTATTTATTGTATAAGTGTTTTATGTATCATTTTCCCTACACAAGAATGTTTAATGGTAGGTTTTGTTATAGCTACTGGTTGCTATGGTGCGTTGTTTTTTATCAATTATTTAATAAACAGTTCCATCTGAATTTGGTAAAAATGCAAGCAAGTAATTGTGTGCCTCAGGCTGTTTTTGTAGAAACTCAAGAAGCAATTTTCCATTTATTGCCAGCGAAATCCAGGGAACATTACGGAAAAGTATTCGCCGAATTTAACGAATGGAGGGAAAACGGAGAGTAATGACAATAAATGAAGAAGTCATGCTATAGTATTTTTTTTTGTAGAAAAAAATGTGCAATTTCATCTATGTGGTACTTCGATGTTGAATGCTACTATAAAGATCTACAAAAGTACATCGAATACTTCGACCACATACAGTGTGTCCCACTTAAGCATTAACCACCCGTGTAAAATTGTTATTTATTGACCGATTTGTTTCAACTTTTTTTTGTTTGATAGATCTCAGAAAAAGGAGTAGAATGTATAATTTCGGTATTTTCGTGGTCTAAGCCATGGCCAACTGAGACGAGTTTTATAGGAGGAAAAAACGAGAAGTAATATTAGCGATTTTTTTCCGACAAAAATTGCAACCCTCAATAGTTGCTTCATTCCTGAATATTGCAAATCCAGAGGCATATACTGGCCATTGTATGAGGCGCACTTCAGTAACTTTATTGACCAACAAAGGTACTGATCTTACCACCATCAAACGGCATGGTGGATGGAAGAGTTCCTCTGTAGCAGAAAGTTATGGTTGAGGAGTCTATATCTAACAAACTTGATATCGCAAGGAAAATCCAAGGAAAATATAGCTGTTCCTTACAAGAAGAGACAACCGTAACTTGTGCAAATTCTTCAAAAAATTCGGCAGATATTATGCGTTCCCAAAATGATGGCAACAGTGCTACAAGGGTTTTGTTAACGGAAAGGAAGTTAAACGTGATGAAACAAACAACGAAATGTCTATTACTATAAATGTAAATGGTAATGTTAATAAGTAAATTAATTAAATTTGATTTATTATAGGTTTATTATTTTTTCATTATTCTACTAGTGAAATAAAGTATCACTTTAGATGGTTCATACGCTTGGAAAAAAGTCCGATTATAAAGTGATTGTGGGTAAAATTATTTTTTAAATCAGTTTGGTTACGTTATTTTTATTTATTATTTTTTTTTTAAATTAAATAACGTCCACTTGAACAAAAAAAACTTAGCAGAATAACATCTGGCATATCCACTTTAATTTTTGCGTTTCATTTGTTAACGAAGATGTTTTCCATCTATCTCCAGAATTTTACTTTACATTTTTCTCCTGGCCCTTCGGAAACGGTTATTTATAGCCCTTATCGTGTTCTTTCACGCGACAGCAAAAACCTGGCAAAAAATTTGATGATCGAACACAATTAATGTAACAAACCGCCCGGATGTGTTACGCCCGTTCATTCAACGCATTCCAATAAGATTAATTCCGTTATTTATCAAGTTTTTTCAGACGGCGTCCACAGATAGTAACGGGAAGTGTCTAGTCCTCCCTCACCGGACCGAAGGAATTTTTTTAATGTCTCAAGAGGAGATTTACTTAAAAACTAATATCGTCGACCGATTCTATGTGTATATGGCAGTTGTTACCTTAATTCTGGCTTACTTAGCAGCAAAAATTCAGATAAGGTGGAACAAATAAGGAAAATGCACAAATAAGAAGCAAATGACGATACCTTCTAATTTGACAGACCCAAGGTTCTTACTTGGGGCCACTGTTTTTGAACATACTTTTAAATGATATTAACGAGTGCTTCGTCGTTGTAAATTTGTACTGTTTACTTTTTATATTGGTAAAATTCAACAAATCAATAATATTTTATCGACTTGGTGTGACAAAAATGGTATGGATCTTACATTAGTTCTTCCAAATGTCATTCTTTTTTTAAAGGCGCAGAAATAAGACTGTCTGTGTTCAGACATTATTCCGCTCAATCTATCAAAGATTTGGGAGTTACCTTTGACACTTCGTTGACATTTACTCCTTATTTTACTAATATCGCCTCGAAAACTTACTGTTTTTACTGTTTAATCTGATTTAATAGACTGTAATTTAAAAAAATGACTCTAGTTTGTAAACAAACAAACAGGTTACTGTATTTTTATTTACAAATCCTAAACCGGTTGTGAAAAATCAAAGTGCCTAGTCTCGAGTCGACGGGCGAGTAGACACTTTCAGAAAAACGTAACGAAACTGCCCATAAATCACAAATATCGGCAAGTGTTGATTAACTCTCTCGGAAAGCTTCAACGAATGTTACACAGCGGCATAAATTCGAGTGTTTGCGAGTCCATTTCGCACTCGAAGCGCTAAAATTAGAATTTTTACCGTTATTGTGTTTACTTGAACGTAAATGCTCGCTGAAAGGGGCCGGTTAATAAGAAGGGTGAGTTAATTTTGTTTGGATTCAAGTGCCGAAACGTTGTTTTGACTGATGTTCCGACGCGGCTACGCGTGAATTTGGGAATTTCTGTAATCCCAGCGCATTTTAAATTCGTCGATAAACAAATATAACTCTCGAACAAAATTCGCACGGCTATGTGTGAGATTTTATAGCATTTTTAACCAGACGAGAGAGAAGCACTAACCAAATTTGGACAAGACATAGCTAGTAAAGTAAAATAGAGACTAAAATTATTTAATTTCTAAATTTAACTTATCCAACTTCCAATTATTACAAGGTCCTCTTAAACTCGAGAACGTTGTTGACTTTCGTGGCAATGAATTCACCTGTTTCAGTTAAATTGGCCGCTCAAAATCCACGTTGGTTCGTGCCTGCGACTAGTTAAATGAATTCCCCAGAGCCTAATACGTACTGCATAATTGTGTATAGTTACTGAGATTACACACGTAGCTGTGTCGGAATATTGATTGCGGACGGCTTCCCCTATAAACCGGTAGGAACGATCGAAATTTCCACAACAGAATGCCGAACATTTAAGGAAAAAACAAGCCTTAAATAAGAGGCTAATTTTTACGAGTATTCAGTACCTACCGTTTTTTTGTGTCATAGAAGATGGCACCATATAAATGACAGAAAAGTTGTAAAAATAAAACCCACTATCGAACCATTTTGGGTCATTGAATATTAACGCAAAATGTACAACATAGCATACACGATAGATAGATTATGAGACAAGACTGGAGACACTGCCAAGACGCCGGGGGATATGTATGTGGCTCCTAAGCTAATATTTCGAATGCTTGTCTAGAAGACCCACTTTTAACTAGTAGTCCAAGCATTATAGAGAAATGCTTACAGAAATTAGTACCTGGACAAAAAAAATATGACCGTATAGAAAATTAAATTTTAAATTGAGTTTACTGTTCTTTAAACTTGATCCGATGTGGCGAACATGGTTAAAAAAAAATCGCAAAGTTGAAAAAAACAGTTTTTCTAAAATAACTAAAAAATTATAGCACGGATTGAAAAATTTTAAATGAGAAAGTTGTAGGTTTTAAAAATATCTATCGTCTGATTTTTTGAAAGTATCGATTGCTTTGTTACTTTTCGAGATATATCGAAAAAACCGTTAAAAATCTTCTATTTTCTCTTCTACTATAACTCGTTTACATTTACGTGCGCATATTTACTATTTACTGCAAGCATAGCCCGCGGCAAGCCAAAAAAGTACATTTTTGAAAAATTTAAAAATATTAAATATTTTTCGAGATATATCGATTTTTTGAAAAAAAGGCGCTCTCGAAAATTGGCTAGATCTTCTCAGCGGATAGCCCTACAGTAACGATTTTCGGTTTTTTTTCTTCGTAAAGAGTTATATTATCATGCTGTTAAAAATGTTGACGATTTTATTAATTTTAAGGATCAAAAAATGACTTTGAAAAAGTTGCACTTTTTTGGGTATGTTTTTTTCAAATTACCATTTCAATTTTTATTTTATGAAAATGACTTTTAAAGAAAGAATACTAAACATTTACGGGTCTATTTTGCTTCTAAGGCGAAAATGCTATAATATTCGTGTTTAGCTACCCCAGATTAAGTACAAATAAAATAATAAAAATTGAAATAGTTATTTGAAAAAAACATACCCAAAAAAAATGCAACATTTTCAGTCATTTTTTGATCCTTAAAATTAATAAAATCGTCAACATTTTTAAACAACATGATAATATAACTCTTTACGAAGAAAATAAACCGAAAATCGTTACTGTAGGGCTATCCGCTGAGAAGATCTAGCCAATTTTCGAGAGCGCCTTTTTTTCAAAAAATCGATATATCTCGAAAAATAATTAATATTTTTAAATTTTTCAAAAATGTACTTTTTTGGCTTGCCGCGGGCTATGCTTGCAGAAAATAGCAAATATGGGCATGTAAATGTAAACGAGTTATAGAAGAAGATAAAAGAGAAGATTTTTAACAGTTTTTTCTATATATCTCGAAAAGTAACAAAGCAATTGACACTTTCAAAATATTAGTCGATAGATCTTTTTGAAACCTACAACTTTCCCATTTAAAATTTTTCAATCCGTGCTATATATTTTTAGTTATTTTAGGAAAACCGTTTTTTTCAACTTTGCGATTTTTTTTAACCATGTTCGCCATATTGGATCGAATTTAAAAAACAAGAAACTCAATTTAAAATTTAATTTTCTATACGGTCATATTTTTTTTGTCCAGGTAATAATTTCTGCAAATTTAACATTAATCCGCGACAGAATGCTTGGACTATAGGGTATACAGGATATATTCAAGCACAAGCAATATATTTCGCAAATAGTGCAGCTATTGCGAATTCTTTCAATCAAAAATATGGATACTGCATATTATATACAGGATGTTAATTAAGTATGTACAATAAATTCAACAGACGATTATTTGAGTGATTTTAAGACAAAAAGTTTATACAGGGTGTCCGGAAATTATGCGCCAAGACTTCAGCAGGTGATTCCTCACAAAAAATTAGGGTCACAAAATCCTATAACAATTTTTCGAAAACTCAATATTAACGGAGATACAGGGTGGCAAAATAATTTTTATTTTGAGTTTGTCTTAGATAACTTTTTGATTTGTGATTTAAAGCAGCGTTAACACATGAAAATGTTTGAAGTCGTTTTTCTCAGAAACGGTTCATTTTATTGTATCGCAACAAGAGATACATTTTTAAATAATACTCTTTAACATGGTGCTGTTCAAATTTATAAAGCGGTGAAAACAAAAAAGTTGTGGGCCATAGATCGAAGATTAAGATCAGGTTAGGACTAGGTTTGGCACTGGAGTATTTGCATCATATTTGGAACATAAATCTACAAGGGCACTAGTAATGCATAGGAAAGACTTGGAAAAAATCAAATCACAAATAAAAAAGTTATCTAAGAAAAACTAAAAAAAAATTGTTGACACCCTGTATCTCCGTTAATGTTGAATTTTCGAAAAATTGTTATAGGACTTTGTGACCCTAATTTTTTGTGAGGAATCACCTGCTGAAGTCTTGACGCATAATTTTTGGACACCCTGTATAAACATTGGTCTGCAGATGCTTCGTTTTCAAGATACAGGGTGTTAAACTTATGTAAAAAAAAATCTATTTCGTTAATATCTTAAATACCCTTTACCCAATTTTGCTGTAATTTGGTAGTGTTATTTGTGTTTTATGTTACCTATTATTAGATTAGATGTTACATATTAATAATGTTATTAATAAAAAATTATAAAAAAAATGATATTTTTTTTTTGTAAAAGGTATTAAGAAAATTAAGAAAAAACAAATTTTTTTACAAAAATTTAACACCATGTATTTTCAAAACGAAGCATCTGCGCACTAATGTTTACATGAACTTTTTGTCTTAAAATCATTCAAATAGTCGTCTGTTGAATTTATTTTACATACTTAATTAACACCCTGTATAGGGCCATATGTAATTCTTTTTCAACATAGAAATTTAAAAAAAAAATAGATAAATTTAGAACGAATACATTGAAGACGAATTTTTCGAGACAAAACGTCTGAATCTGGTTCGAGCTGAGGCAGTACAGCATTGGCGGTCATGAAGGCTTGCAAAAAATGTAATACATTTTCCAGGGTCGTATTTAGAAACATCAAATTGATGATGGTCCTGGAGACACGAAACGTTACATATAAAAACTGATTATGGCATTCGATAGAGGGCAAAAAGTTGCCATGGAAAAGTGTTCTTCTTTTTTCAATATCACCTCAACAAGGCTGAAATTAAACAAAGACAGATTTCCAAAATTACGTTTTTTCTTTCAAATATTTTGAAAACTAATCATCTATGTTAACCTTGATTTTTTAGAGGCATAATGTTGTTCCCATGATTCCGCAACTTTGCCCCCATTTAAGCTATTTCGTATCTCGTACTGTTTTCGAGATCCCTGTAGTGAGAAGCGAATTTGTAACAGCCTGTACAACTCACCCTGTACATATTTCTTTAACTGTCCATAGCAAATATTTTATATTTATACGAAAAATACAATATATTAATTGCAAGAAAATGTATACTTACAATTCGAAAACCATATAGAGCATGCCTTCCGAGGAGTAGGTTTCCAACAGTTCCACTATGTGGGGGTGCTTGAGCATATGGCATATCGTAGCCTCTCGTTTCAGATCTGAAAATGAAACATTTCTAATAATATGACAACCTACACAACATATGTCATAACGAAAGCAGCGACTCATCGCCATATATATTCCAAGACGTTTTTAAAAAAAAAAAAACGTGTTATCTAATGTATCGAATAATCAAGTTATGTTAAACAGAGAAAAAAAGAAACAAACACTCCATTCGTTGAACCTCGCGAACGAAGCTGACGAAGGATAATAATCCGTCTTATCCAAAAATGAATTTTAATGAGTTTGACTGGGTGTTTATGGGTTCGCTGCTGGTAATCAAACTTCGCCTAACAAGATGCAAATCAGAATGCCGATGCCGGGGATCATTTTCAACTCACATCAGTTCCGTACAAATTGAATCAAAATGCAAATAAAGCAACTGTGCAAGGCGAGGAACTTTGGCTCGTCTGCACTGCTCCGTCAACGACGACAAACAATTTATATCACTTTTATATACAGCGAAATCCAAAGCTATATCGTCATTTTATTAAACAAAAAGAAGAATTAGTAAATATATCTCTTGATTGCAAATAGTATATTAAACAATAAGTATAGAAAAGCAAAGTTTTACTAAACGAATTACTAAATTTAAAATATATATGAGTTTATTAAAACCGTTTTTCTTAGAGATTTGTTTATACTTTGTGTTAGTAGGAAATTCCCCAAAGAAATGCAGAATACTTAAAACTCCAAGACACATCCAGTTACACTGGCCATTGCCTGAGGAGGACGTCTGCACCTTCCTTTCTGACAATGGAGCTGGTATTCAAACACTTAAAAGACATGGAGGGTGGCAGTCCACTAATGTGGCTGTTTATCTTCAAAGAATAATACAGGGTGTTAAAAAAAGAGTATAAAATATTTAAGGAGGTAATAGTATGAACCAAAATAAGCAGAAAAGTCTCAATAAACATGGGTCCGCAAAGTAACGGTTGCGGAGATATGGAATGTTTTATGTTTTTAAGCCCCTTTTTTATTTTGCAAAAACGTTGTGTATTTTCTTATAACAGTTGGTGGATGTTTAGTGAAATAAACAGTACGTATTTGACAATTATTCTCAGTGCACAAGTTTTCTTTCGCTATAGCTGGTTACTCTAACGCAGAATTAACAGACATGCATTTCATGTATGGTCGTGCTAATGGGAACGCCACCGAAGCGCGACGTCTTTATGTTGACGCTTATCCAAATCGCCAGATTCCTTCACAACGCATGTTTGGAAGAATTCACCAAAGATTGCGTGATACCGGTTCCTTGAGCAAACAGTGCCATTTATCCGGAAGACCAAGGTCGGTATCCACTCCTAGAGCAGAAGAAGAAATTCTAGCACTGGTAGAGCAGAATCCAGGTACGAGTGTGCGGAGAATATCAGCCGAGGTAGGAATTAGTGGTCCTCTTGTTTGGAGAATCCTTCACGAGCAACTGCTTTATCCATACCATGTGCAACGAGTACAGGCCTTAAATCCAATAAATGATCATCAAGCACGTTTGGTTTTTTGCCGCTGGTTTCTACGTCATGATGCTGAAGACCCTCGTTTTCTTGCAAACATTCTTTTTACTGATGAGGCCGGGTTCACAAGAAATGGAGTGTTTAATTTTCACAATACGCATATTTGGGCCGACGAAAATCCTCATGCTCTAATAGAATCTGGACATCAGGCACGTTTTTCATTAAACATTTGGATGGGTATTGTAGGTGACAGGTTTCTAGGTCCTGTTGTTTTACCAAACCGATTAACAGGCGCTGCTTACCTCAACTTTCTGCAGAACACACTGTATGAGTTTTTGGAAGACATTCCTTTGAATCAGAGGCAACAAATGTGGTTCCAGCATGATGGTGCTCCAGCTCATTTTTCCATGGCCGTTAGAGAGCATTTACACCAAACTTTTCCACATAGATGGGTAGGAAGGGCCGGACCTGTTTTATGGCCTCCAAGATCGCCTGATCTGAACCCTCTAGATTTCTTTGTTTGGGGATATTTGAAGACATTAGTGTATGGTACTCCTGTAAATAGCCTGGAAGAGCTGCAGCTACGGATTAATCAAAAGTGTCAAGAAATCCAAACCAAGGAGGGTGTTTTCGAAAGAGTTCGAATATCGTTGAGACGAAGATGTCGTGCCTGCTTGGAAATGGACGGAGGGCACTTTGAACATCTTCTGTAACTTTGTTTTTTGTTTGTTAAAAGCTTCCTTTGTCGGTTTATTCCTAATAAAATAAAATGTTTGAAAAACGAATAGTGGTCCATATCTCCGCAACCGTTACTTTGCGGACCCATGTTTATTAAGACTTTTCTGCTTATTTTGGTTCATACTATTACCTCATGAAATATTTTACACTCTTTTTTTAACACCCTGTATATTGTATTGCATATTTGTAAAACAGTATTAGTTGGCGGTGCATTGGCACAATTTCTTAAATAGTCAAGGCAAAACTTGATCTACTACGTTACAGTCACGCCTGCGGTAACGATAATGATTTTTCAGAGCTTAAACAAAATCAAACAGTCGTATTTCATCTCGTAAAACGTATAATACCCTGCCACTGCTGAAACATATACGACGTCTTGCAAAATATACGCGCCAATCGTGCCCGAATGGCCGTCATAACTTGTCAAATAAAACAATGGGGAGAGCGCCGTTACATCCATTAATCAATGCGTCGTTCGACGGAATTATAGACATTACATTTATAGGTGTATGCGACAATTTGTCTTGCCGACTTTCCAATGGCGATTTTTAACATTCATGATACCACTGCTTTTAAATTCTACACAATATACAAAAATAGGAAAGTAATGATACCTCACGGACACCCAATCCACTGTTAAAAGATGGGGATATCTTTCAGTTTCGCGGGAGAGATACAATAAAACAAGTTCCGCGTAAACTATTAATGGACTGAATTTCAATAAAATGAAAGCACTTCAGCTTCAATAAGACACGAAATTGGATAGAGAACGCGAAATAGATTCCGAGAAAACTATAGGAAATGTTTAATCGTCTTGTGTGTTGAGTTTGCAGCACTAAGGTTGCAGGAACAGTGAACGTAAGATTTGCATTTTAAATGTCTATTATTTTGGTAACCACGCTCGTTAAATTTTCTGCCTTTTTCCTTGAATCACAAATTAAGATTAGCATTGACTTCAATACGCATACCAATGTAATTATATCGGACCACTCTGTAATACTGATGGCGAATTTTTTCCTCAATTGGCTTCATCGTCCGTTAATTATTAATTTGGAATTTGATCTCAACAATTTAAACGTACATACACAATATTGACCTAGTCTAAAAATAGATCCAGATTAGGGTATCGCAATCGGCTCATTTGCAATGCGAAATATTTCATGTATTTGTTTAATGTTGATAACTTGGCAAAATGAAATAGAAAAGCATTATATTCTGTGAAAAATTTCCGCCCTGTACCGAGTGTCGATAACTTTCCCGTCGTGACCAAGAGGCCGTTTTCATAAATCATTCTGACAAAACGCTCCTTTAAGTAAAAACCCGTGTAGCAAAAAAAGGCCGGACAAAACTTCCTGATCTCGACGTCATTCTTAACTTTCGAGTGTTAATCGATTTTTCATATACGCATAAAAATTTGGCCCGGGTAAAATTAACTTTCCAATATAAGGCGGTATTTGTTAGAAAGCCGCACGCAAAAAATGGGAAGTTAATACACGTGTAACATCAGATTACGGAAGTTGCGGAAGGAATTACTTTTTATTTAAGTTTCCGTGGGATTCCTTATACCATATTTTCATCTTCAAGTATTCTAGAGGAAATGGTATAAAGTTAATATTTCATTTATCAATGGTACTTAAAACATTTACACAATAAATAACTATTTTTGGATACGTACTTTAAATATTAAATATTTCAGGAAAAAAACATTTTCCTACTGTCTAAGATGCTGTATTTTAATGTCGCTATGTGAAAATTGTCACAAATTTAACTTACTTTTGTAAAGAACAAATTTAACAAAACTATGCTTTAAAAGATTATAAATTGAAAGCCATGGCAGTGGGTACTATTTCTGGACATCAAACAATTCTATTAAAAAATTTTATAAGCAACAAACTTCGTTCAAACTGAAATAAACTGTTTAAAATTACATCAACAAAATAATATCGTATATCTATCGTCGGGAACTTAAGTTTATTTCGCAATAATAAATTGGATATTTGAAGTTGGAGTCATGGAGTATAAACTCGAACATTTACATAAAGTCAAACTTGTTTACCGCTTTAAAGTACGTACATATCTCATCTAAAAATTAATTTAGCCAAATAATTTACGCTGCTTGGAAAACCTTAGATTTGTGTTGTTCTGCGTGAAATTTTTGACTAGGCAACTTAAGACCAGCTCTTTCTGGATCTCCTGGCTCAAGAATTAAATTAACTAATATAAAAAAAAAATTTCGACTATAAAATTTTAAGGTTGCAATGAAAAATGTCAGTGTCACTGTAGTATCTACTTTACTACGAATACACATTACACATGAAATATAAAGTTGAATTTTGTAACAAGCTTGTTCGCGCTTTGTCAAGATGAAATATTTGTAACTGTCGTGGAACTGACGGGCTTAGTTTAGATGGAAATTTTTTAAAAAATCCTGGATGAGATGTACAGTTTCTACTTAGTTCTAGACAAACATCGTATTCGTAAAGAAACAATAAAACCAGTTTAATCTATTGCACGTATAAATATTTACTTTCGTGTTTAACTGTTTGAAGAGTTATCTTTTTTAATCTAAGTATTTATGTTTAAAGAAATAAATTGACCAACTTTCTAAATCGAAACTCTTCTTGGCATATTTTCAGACTGTCCATTAAGAATTCTAAATTAGAAAATGGTCCTTTGCATGGGTAAATGTTACAAAAAGTTAAGATAGTTAATTTTTTCTAATAAAAAAATTTTTCATTCATACCAATATTACACAAGAAACAGCTAATAAAGAATTAATTAATATAAAATAGATGAAACAATCCAAATACCTACATGGTTTGCGTATAAAAATGTACAGCTTGATATCAATTTCCTGGGAAAAGTTGCGGACACCTCCACGAACCCTAGCACACGTCAATTTTTTTCCTTAAAAAAATTATATCTCGAAATCTATTACTCCTATAGTCCAGACGGTATCCGTTTCAAAAAGCCATATTTGGGTGAATCGTATATCCGGAGATTTTTGGCTTTCAAATATCACTAGAAATTAAAATTTTTCTATGCGCATAAAAAAAACGTGGGCTTAACTTTTGGCGGCCCAAATTGTTAAAAAAATTCGAAAAATGTCATATTTTTCTTCCTATTTAATTATGAATCTTTTCAAGAGTTGATTTTAGGCAAAAATGGAAGAGGAAAAAAATGTTTGCAATTAAATTTTTTACAAAACATGTCTAGTTACAAATCGAATGAATCATGATTATTATGGTAAAAATCGAAAAAATCGCAAAGATGGGGTTAAAAAACAATACTTTTTAGGTCATTTTTTTGGGGTATATAAATTGGGTATAGGACCTTTATACTTGGCTCAAAAAAACTTCATGTTATGTAGAATTATCACANTAAAACAGTATTAGTTGGCGGTGCATTGGCACAATTTCTTAAATAGTCAAGGCAAAACTTGATCTACTACGTTACAGTCACGCCTGCGGTAACGATAATGATTTTTCAGAGCTTAAACAAAATCAAACAGTCGTATTTCATCTCGTAAAACGTATAATACCCTGCCACTGCTGAAACATATACGACGTCTTGCAAAATATACGCGCCAATCGTGCCCGAATGGCCGTCATAACTTGTCAAATAAAACAATGGGGGGAGCGCCGTTACATCCATTAATCAATGCGTCGTTCGACGGAGTTATAGACATTACATTTATAGGTGAATGCGACAATTTGTCTTGCCGACTTTCCAATGGCGATTTTTAACATTCATGATACCACTGCTTTTAAATTCTACACAATATACAAAAATAGGAAAGTAATGATACCTCACGGACACCCAATCCACTATTAAAAGATGGGAATATCTTTCAGTTTCGCGGGAGAGATACAATAAAACAAGTTCCGCGTAAACTATTAATGGACTGAATTTCAATAAAATGAAAGCACTTCAGCTTCAATAAGACACGAAATTGGATAGAGAACGCGAAATAGATTCCGAGAAAACTATAGGAAATGTTTAATCGTCTTGTGTGTTGAGTTTGCAGCACTAAGGTTGCAGGAACAGTGAACGTAAGATTTGCATTTTAAATGTCTATTATTTTGGTAACCACGCTCGTTAAATTTTCTGCCTTTTTCCTTGAATCACAAATTAAGATTAGCATTGACTTCAATACGCATACCAATGTAATTATATCGGACCACTCTGTAATACTGATGGCGAATTTTTTCCTCAATTGGCTTCATCGTCCGTTAATTATTAATTTGGAATTTGATCTCAACAATTTAAACGTACATACACAATATTGACCTAGTCTAAAAATAGATCCAGATTAGGGTATCGCAATCGGCTCATTTGCAATGCGAAATATTTCATGTATTTGTTTAATGTTGATAACTTGGCAAAATGAAATAGAAAAGCATTATATTCTGTGAAAAATTTCCGCCCTGTACCGAGTGTCGATAACTTTCCCGTCGTGACCAAGAGGCCGTTTTCATAAATCATTCTGACAAAACGCTCCTTTAAGTAAAAACCCGTGTAGCAAAAAAAGGCCGGACAAAACTTCCTGATCTCGACGTCATTCTTAACTTTCGAGTGTTAATCGATTTTTCATATACGCATAAAAATTTGGCCCGGGTAAAATTAACTTTCCAATATAAGGCGGTATTTGTTAGAAAGCCGCACGCAAAAAATGGGAAGTTAATACACGTGTAACATCAGATTACGGAAGTTGCGGAAGGAATTACTTTTTATTTAAGTTTCCGTGGGATTCCTTATACCATATTTTCATCTTCAAGTATTCTAGAGGAAATGGTATAAAGTTAATATTTCATTTATCAATGGTACTTAAAACATTTACACAATAAATAACTATTTTTGGATACGTACTTTAAATATTAAATATTTCAGGAAAAAAACATTTTCCTACTGTCTAAGATGCTGTATTTTAATGTCGCTATGTGAAAATTGTCACAAATTTAACTTACTTTTGTAAAGAACAAATTTAACAAAACTATGCTTTAAAAGATTATAAATTGAAAGCCATGGCAGTGGGTACTATTTCTGGACATCAAACAATTCTATTAAAAAATTTTATAAGCAACAAACTTCGTTCAAACTGAAATAAACTGTTTAAAATTACATCAACAAAATAATATCGTATATCTATCGTCGGGAACTTAAGTTTATTTCGCAATAATAAATTGGATATTTGAAGTTGGAGTCATGGAGTATAAACTCGAACATTTACATAAAGTCAAACTTGTTTACCGCTTTAAAGTACGTACATATCTCATCTAAAAATTAATTTAGCCAAATAATTTACGCTGCTTGGAAAACCTTAGATTTGTGTTGTTCTGCGTGAAATTTTTGACTACGCAAAGTAAGACCAGCTCTTTTACTGGATCTCCTGACTCAATAATTAAATTAACTAAAATAAATTAAATTTGGACTATAAAATTTTAAGGTTGTAACAAGCTTGTTCGCGCTTTGTCAAGATGAAATATTTGTAACTGTCGTGGAACTGACAGGTTTAGTTTAGATGGAAATTTTTTCAAGCCGTGTGCCGCTCTATGCTCACAATACACAACACTACTGACTGCCATAAAAACACGCGCCATACACACGACCAAGCAAAGCTTCAAACTCACTCACACACGATCAAACGACAATAAAATACAAGGCCAATGTCCATCAGCAAAAAGTCTGGATTGTTCACGTTTTGATGACACTCCAGATGTGATGAAAACTTGCCAAAATAGTGGAAATTCGCAAATATCTCCAAAAGTAATGATCGCAACCCTAACTATGCTTATATGACTTGAAAGAGAATATCAACGTGTACAAGTCAGAGCAATAAAATACAGGGTGTTCCATTTAAGTTAAGGAAGTTATAGCTGTTTGACTTTGCCAATACGTAACGGCGAGAATGAAACTCTTGGTACAATATTTTTGAATTTAAAGACATACCATAAGTTAGCGTCGTCTAAGTTCTTTACGAACACCAAAAATCGGCTTGATATCAATTTCCTGGGAAAAGTTGCGGACACTTCCGCGAATCCTAGCACACGTCAATTTTTTCATTAAAAAATGTATATCTCGAAATCTATTACTCCTAGCCAAAGGGATCATTACACAAAACGACTCTAAATTCTTCCGTAGAATCCGAAAATGAATTAATATACAGGATGTCCCGTTTAAAATAAAGAAGTTGGTGTCGACTTCCGGTATAAGTGGAAGTGCTGGAGAGATATTTCAGTTGTATTCGTCCCAGGGACTTTGCGATGTTGCTGAATTTTCAAATTTTTCGGATCAGTTCTTTCCTAGCTTTCCTAGTTATCAATCGACGAAGTCCCCGGTGGGACATCCTGTATATTCTTATAATGTAGAGTGCAATTAGAAGAAGGCAATGGTTGTGTCACTTTTTCTTCGAATAAAATTACATAGAGGAGAATATCTCTAACTATACATTTTAAAACATTAAATTTCTTGTAAACTGTTTGGAATACACTAAAAAAAAAAGATTTGATCCATCGAACTTACCGTCCGTGCTGAGGCCGGGACTGGAGGTGAATTTGGCCACATCCACGATCTTCGCAGCGAACTGCTGTCCAGTTTGTCGGTGGATACATCTCCTAACTACGCTGAATGGTCCCCTGCAACAAAAGGAAACATTACTCTTTCCGTCACTGTCAACTCAGAGACTGGCATTNAAAGGTATTTTTCGAAAAATTAGCCCGGATGTCCCAGTACATTTAGTGTAAATGACGGCTATAACTACGTAACTAATTGATCTATCGATCTGTTTTTTTTTTAAAGAAGCATCTTTCCAAGAACTTTTAAAACCTGCTTCAAAAAATTTTATTTCATTTTCACAAAGATACAGATACCGCCTAGCCTACTAGCCAGAGGGATCATTACACAAAAGGACTCTAAAATCTTCCGTAGAATCCGAAAATAAATTAATATACAGGGTGTCCCGTTTAAAATAACGAAGTTGGTGTCCACTTCCGGTATAACTGAAAATGCTGGAGAGAAATTTCAGTTGTATTCGTCCCAGGGACTTTGCTATGGTAAATTTTCAAATTTTTCGGATAAGTACTTTCCTAGCTTTCCTAGGTATCAATCGACGAAGTCCCCGGTGGGACAACCTGTATATTCTTATAATGTAGAGTGCAATTAGAAGAAGGCAACGGTTGTGTCACTTTTTCTTCGAATAAAATTACATAGAGGAGAATATCTCTAACTATACATTTTAAAACATTAAATTTCTTGTAAACTTTTTGGAATACACTAAAAAAAAAAGATTTGATCCATCGAACTTACCGTCCGTGCTGAGGCCGGGACTGGAGGTGAATTTGGCCACATCCACGATCTTCGCAGCGAACTGCTGTCCAGTTTGTCGGTGGATACATCTCCTAACTACGCTGAATGGTCCCCTGCAACAAAAGGAAACATTACTCTTTCCGTCACTGTCAACTCAGAGACTGGCATTAATAAGTATAAAGGGAGAAAGGGCGGGCGTATTTCTTCGGATCCGATCCTTTTTTAAATGTCCGTTTATCAGCATTTATATATTTTCAGATTCAGATTTCTGCTCTTATTCATAATAATTGCACAAGTAATATCTTTAGAATTTAATTAGGTATTCAAAGATCATTAAATTTCAAAAAAATGTATCTTGTAACTGGAAATACGTAAAATCAGGAACACGGCTAATGTCGTTCAATTAAAGCATTAAAAAAAATTAACATAAATGGATTTAAATTTCCAAGTACTCTCCCAACACGAAGACATCTCCGTAGCAACCCCGTAATAAAATTGAAGGAAGCTTCGGTGCCTTACAGACCTAATACCATTATAAGCCAACTTTCCAACGTCTCCTTAGAGCTTACGGAAGGGGAGAAGGGTCTTGGACCAACATAGTAAATCTAAATGACCCCAAATGTAATTCCTCTTCATCGGAAAGCCAGCACTATCTCCTACCATTACACCAATTAAGTTACCACACGTCATATCACCTCTATTACGACTATAATTAAACGGGATTCGTATTAATCGCGACAGACTTTGGAGCTGGGTATATTTTGTTCGTCTGGCAGTCGATTGTTCCTTTCCTAGGCCTGCAGTTTTTTTTAATGCTTACTGCTTTCCCCCAGCACGGTAAAAAATACCATTAACAAATTTTTTAATAATAAAGGTTTAGAAAATAAAATAGCAGTATCTTATAATACAGGCACGAATATAAAAGTTACAAGGGAACCCTAGGAAGCGAAAACTCCTTGCCAAAAGCAAATTCTCGTGAAATTATCGACTCGATTATTCTCGAAATAATCGATTTAATTATAAAACCGTACACATTTCTCATTTCAACAATAACCCGTGTGATCTCTATAATAAAAACAGCAGTAAAAGGCATCGGTTACAGACATAATCGTTAAATAAAATAAAATAAAACAAGGCGGGGTGTTTATACTCTAAAGTGATTCTCATATTGAAGCGGCATAAAATGCGATGCCGAAAACAAAACAAACAAATGATGGTGCATGAAATGCAAACCTTCGATGTTTGTAATTGGAAAGCTGCCAGCTGCGTGCGAAAGGATGCGAGTGGGTTTCATTTGGAAGAAGTTTAATTGATCTGGAGTTTCTATGTGCTAACGGTATTTTTTCGGAAGGGAAAAGGAACATTAGTCTTGAAGGAAAAGAAGATAATGTTCAATTTTCTACAGACATAACATAGAGAACAGCTTGTATGTATCTATATCAAGAAAAATTATGATTTTAGTTAGCATCGATTCCAGATAAAATTTAACAAATCACTAAATTCTGATGGACTGTTACTGATCATTTCAACGTATCTACAGCATATTCCGGTCGTTCATATTTCAGCCACATCAAATCGCATTAGGGGACATAAAATTTAATATAACATGGACGTGGACAGAGTCCGAAACCAGGACATACGATTACATTAATTAGGTTCAAATATCGCATTTCAATTTGCAGGAGTTATTTAATTTATATGTTGCAATTCGAAATCTATCGACAACGGCCTCACCATTTGGACACAGTTTTATAGGTACAGCGCTGCACAAAGCAGAAATATTGAATTTGCTGTTGCTAAAGCTAATCATACACGAATACAATGAAATGTTACACTAATGCAAAGAATTAAAGGGTCAAAAGAATTTCCGAAAATTTTCCGTGATTTGTGACAGACTGTATTTAGGTGAAAAATGGTTGTATCGAAAATTAAAAACAAAAGAATTTTGAAGCTCTAAGACTGTAGTTTTTTGATCTTTCGGTCGAAATTTTTTAAGAGCTACGGTTATCATGCAATTCTAAGAAATAGCCCGACATTTTTTTTGAGTCCACGGATTTAGAAAAAAAAAATTCAGCTAAGCCATTGCATGGACCAGATAGCTTGTTTATTCAGCTTCAATTTCCTTCTTTTTAAATTTCGATACGACCATATTTCATCGAAATATCGGACTAATGGAAAAGGATCCTTTTGTTTTCAATCATCGATATCTCGGCGATAAATGGTTGTACAAAGAATTGGAGGACAGTTTCGAAAACCTGAAAAACGCTATGAAATAAAAGCAGTTATATATAGAATTAAAAATTTACTAATCTTTCGAATCGCAAATTCCTGATCTTACCACAAAACACAATTTATTTTAATTTGAGCTTCTATAATCTGTCAGTTTAAAGAATATCTGGATCCAGTGTTTTGTCGTCAAATTTAAGCTGCCTAGAAACCTAATTTGGTCCGCCAATTTATTTAAAATTCACCTGTTGCCGATGTACTTTGCTGGTCCATTAGCGATGGATTACTGGATTTTAGTTCTCGGCGAAAATGTCAGGTATGGCTTCCACACAAGTGGTTATAGTTCGATGACTTACGTATTTTACATACGGTACAGTGCTGTTAAATAACGCTGAACGAACTCTCATCAAACCAAGCGAATTTCTTTCGAAAATGGATTAAAACACGTTATATTGTTTCATCTATTATATGTTTTTATTATCTAAATAAAAGATATAGACAAGAAATCACACTTTTAGTAAGACAATGATAGAACAAGTCGATCTATCCGGGAAGCCACGAAGCATAACGCTAAACTAGAGCAACTTCTTTTAATTTTTCGCATTGAAAGATCATGGAGAACATGTAAACATCAGAAAATGTACCTTTCCTAAACGCATTTGTTCAATTAAAAAAAAGTGAGACATACCAGGTAAAAATACGCCTTTTCTTCCTTATTTTGACTGTGCCTTAAAAAATATATAAACGAAAAATTTCCCCTACTAGTTTGTCATTTGCAACAATCATTCTATCACATCAAATAAGAAATGACGCCCTAGGACAAATTTAAAAACATCATAGAAACAAATTCAGTAATCGAGATCAAAAGTCACATTTACTAACGTAAATACAGACTAAATGTCGAATCAGTCACGCCAGCTATAAGCAAAAAAATGTTTGATTTAAATAATAGACATTAAATGTTAAAGGTACCACGGGTGTCATGGGATAATAATGCCCTCGACCCTTCTTACTATAAAAATAGTTACTTGTAACTGGAAAGTGCAGAGAAATATAAAAAATTAAAATCGTACAGAAATTGAAATTTTTAATAATTTGGCGAATGCGCTGGTATTATTCGATATTAATTTGTTATAATTTTAAGAAAACGGATTATAAGATGGAAAATAGCAATTACATGCATATAATATACATTATTTAGCAGAAAGGTAATACAATTTTTTTTTCTGCAGGCAATTACAACTATTATAAAAGCTCACATGCATATGAACACTTGAGTGACGACACAAACGTATAAACTAATTATTGCATACTCAAAATTAACAGTACTGCGCGTCTATGTATTACATTTATCACTTGGTACTTATAACGAGCGTTCAAATAAAAACGTGGTCAAGTTGGTTCTGAAAATTTGGACGTAGGGCGTAGCGTATAGCAAATGAACTTAAACGTCATCTGTCAAAGCGCTATATCGCCGCTGTCAATTTGAATATTTTCGTTTTAAAAAGCGTTTAAAATGGTGTTTTCTCAAGAACAAAAAGTGTTTATCATAGAGTCCTACTTTAGAAATGGACGCAAGATTGATGGAATATGGAAGTATTCTATTGAGGAATGTTTCATAGAATTTCAAAATCAATTTCCCGGCGTTGTTGAGTACAAAATTTTTCAAAGTGCAGTTCAACGTTGTGTTAATGTTTTTCGTGAAACGGGCAGTGTAACAAGAAAAAAAGGAAGCGGCCGACCTAAAAAGCGGACTGAAGAATTAAAAGAAAATGTCCAACAAATAATGGAAAATGCGCCAAGAACTTCTGTACGTGTTTTATCACAAATGGTGGGAGTATCAGTCGGTACCTGCCACACAGTGTTAAAAAAAGATTTGCGTTTGTTCTCCTATCGTTTAACTTGTCAGCAAGAACTTCATGAAGTTGATTTTCCGCGACGGGCTGTATTTTGTGAATGGTTTTTAAACAACTACGGTGAACTTCATAATATCACCTTTTTTTCTGATGAAGCCTGGCTTCATATAAGTGGTTACGTAAACTCACAGAATATGAGAATGTGGTCTTCTGAAAAACCAGATAACTTTTTTGTCGAGGGCCCTCTACACGCTCAAAAAATTGGAGTTTGGTGTGCTCTCAATCGAAGGAGGATTTATGGATCAATTTTTTTTAATGGTACTCTTACTGCGCAAAGGTATAGAGAAGAAATTATCGCTCCTTTTGTTAACCAGCTGGAAGAAAACGAAATTACAAACTTTTACTTTCAACAAGATGGCGCAAGGGCACATACGGCAGGCGAGACGATGAATATGTTGAGGGAGTTTTCCAAAATCGACTAATAAGTCTCAATGCTGAACATGAATTTCCACCGAGGTCATGTGATATTACGCCGTGTGATTTCTTTTTGTGGCCTTACCTTAAAAACACTATTTTTGAACTGCCTATTCCTGATTTAAACCATCTGCAGGCTCGACTTATAGACAAGATTCGTGAAATTAACAATACCCCGAGCATCTTAGAAAATGTCTTTAATTCTTTGAGGAACAGGTGTGAAAAGTGCTTGGAACAAGGAGGGGGACACTTTCAGCATCTGCTTTAATTTATTGTTATAACAAGGAGGGGGTCACTTTCCGCAGCTCATTTAATTGTTTGTTATTGTTATCACGATTATTCTTTAAAATAAAGTTATATAGTCATTAACGTTATTGAAACTGACAGCTGCTATACAGCTCGTTAAGAAATGAGGTTAAGTTGGTCGCTATAAGCTACTCCCTACGTCCAATGTGTCAGAGCCAACTTCGACCACGTTTTAATTTGAACGCTCGTTATAACGTGCATGTCTATTATTATACCCAAAATCGAAATTATCTACTTTGCAAATATAATTA